GTATCAAAATTAGTTTAAAATAATGATAGGCAACCATTTGATATAAATGATTGTACAAAATTACATGACAAGTGGAAGCGCGACATGAGAATGGCAGCACACGCCAAAATTAATCAAACGCTACATATACAACCCAAATTTTGTTATAGCAGAGTTAAATCGAACCATAGTTTTGTTTAGTCTATTAGGATTAAGCCTCTCCTATGATAAAGGTTCTCCTTTCTTAGGGTTTTTTTTTTTTTAATTTGCAAAAAAAAATAATTTTCTAATGTGTTTTTAATAATTTTATAATATTTTTTTGATTATGAAAAAGTAATATCGTATTCACAACAATAAATTTAATATCGTATTTACAACAATACATTTTAAAAACATATATGTGCTCACTTTTTCATGCTCGCGTCATGAGCTAATCACTTACTAAAATTATAAAATGGAAAAGCATAGAATTATCGTTTTTATATGGATGTATAGGCACTTGATCAAACAATAACATTGGTGATTGTTTGGTACAAATTAATTTTCAATCAGTTTTAATTAATTGTTGGTTTTGTATTAATATTTGGAACAAAACTGTTTGGGGAAGAAGACGAATGTACGAAGTAGTGGAAGAAAGTGGCAGTAGTAAAGTATGAGAAGGAAAAAACTAGAGATGATGAGAAGAAGAATAAGAATTAGAACGAGAAGACACAAAAACAAGAATCTCCAATGGTCTATCATCCACAATCCAATGGTCAAAGCTATATATGTTATTGTGTCTAGGATAACCTCGAGATCTTGATAAGAATCTCTTAAGAATTCGTCACTCTAAGTTGGCAAAGCGGATAATCTTCGACTTCAATGGACTGGTAAAACACAAACCTTGGGTATAATAAACTTAAGACCCAATACTCGACTTAAAACTTTCCAAAAAAACAATATTGTAGGTCAAATGGCCGCACAAGAGATGCGGAAGACTCAAATTATGTTTTCTTCTGAATGAAGAAAAAGGTTACGGATGCTTCTCACGTTATTAATCAATTTGACTAATTTTTTAGTTTGTTTAATCGTTAGGTTTTTAAATATTGTTTAGGATGAATTAAATGTGTTATAAGTACTAATTTGTTTAGTTTTTGCTTTATATGCAGAAGAAAACAATTGGTATTCGACCAAGCATACCAATACAATTGTAAAATCTTTTCC